TACTTACTATATCTGGGAAATCATTCCACCTTAATTCACAAATATCTTGTTCATTTTTTTTTATGGCTAGTTGCTAGATATAGTAACCAAAACCAAAATCAGTACAAACAAAACTGATTAAAGCTTATTTTATGGGGTCAACAGTGCCTGGATTCAAAATCTGACTCTATTTCTCACAAATTACTCTTTTTAAGGCTTTGTTTCTTCATCTGTAAAATGAAGATGATACTATTACTTTCCTAAAGGGATAATTATGAAGACTAAATGAGATGGCCTGGCACAGTACTCATGCCTGTAATCCCAGCACTTTGGGAGGGCGAGGCAGGTGAATCACCTGAGGTCAGGAGTTCGAGACTAGCCTGACCAACATGATGAAACCCCATCTCTAACAAATTAAAAAAAAAAAAATTAGCTGGATGTGGGTTGTAGTGGTGCATGTCTGTAATCCCAGCTACTTGGGAGGCTGAGGCAGGAGAACTGCTTGAACCCAGGAGGCAGAGGTTGCAGTGAGCCGAGATTGCACCATTGCCCTCCAGCCTGAGCAAAAAGAGCAAAACTCTGTCTCAAAAAAAAAAATTAAATGAGATAATATGTGTAAAGTTTCTAAAAGAGAACCTGGCACAGCTTGGTAGATTCAGCAAATAAAAATACAGGACACCCAGCCAAATTTGTACTTTGGATAAATAACAGGACATGCATATAATAAAAATTATTTGATGCTTATATGGAATTTACATTTTACTGGCATCTTGCATTTTATCTGGCAACCCTAACTTGGCATTTAGTAAGCACTAAAAAGTTATAGGTATTATTATTATTTTGATCATGACTCCACGTCTCACATATTACACAATGATATAATTTCTCACAAATTACACAACTGATGTCCACCAGTTGGGGCTTGGTTAACTATGTGATGGAATAAGCAAACCATGTAGCCTTAGGAAGAATGAGGTAGATTTATGTGTGCTTTGGGAAGATCCTCAAAGAATATTAAGTGAAAAAGTGAGGCCAGACATAGTGGCTCATGGGCTGGGGACAGTGGTTCACGCATATAATCCCAGCACTTTGGGAGGCTGAGGCGGGCAGATCACCAGGTCAGGATATTGAGACCTTACTGGCCAACAAGGTGAAACTCCGTCTCTACTAAAAATTCAAAAATTAGCCGGTGTGGTGGCACACACCTGTAGTCCCAGCTACCTGGGAGACTGAGGCAGGAGAATCGCTGGAACCAGGGAGACAGAGGTTGCAGTGAGCTGATATTGCATCACTTCACTCCAGCCTGGGCAACAGAAGGCGACTCTGTCTCAAAAAAAAAAAAGGATTGTTAATGATTTTTGCACAATGATTTTGTATCCTGAGACTCTGCTAAAGTTACTTATCAGCTTAAGAAGCTTGTGGGCTGAGACTAAGAGATTTTCTAGATGTAGGATTATGTCATCTGCAAACAGAGATAGAAATTCCTATTTGCATGTTCTTTGTTGCTTTCTCTTGCCTGATTGCCCAGCCAGGACTTCCAATACTATGTTGAATAGGAGTGGTGAGAGAGGGCATCCTTGTGCCAGTTTCCAAGGGGAATGCTTCCAGCTTTTGCCCTTTCAGTATGATGTTGGCTGTGCGTTTCTCATATGCAGCTTTTATTATTTTGAGGTATTTTCCTTCAATACCTAGTTTATGGAGAGTTTTTAACATGAATGGATGTTAAATTTTATCAAAAGCATTTTCTGCATCTATTGAGAGCATTGTGTGGGTTTTGTTTTTAGTTCTGTTTATGTGATAAATCACATTTATTGATTTGCATATATTGAACCAACCTTGCATCCTAGGGATAAAGGCTGCTTGATCGTAGAGGATAAGCTTTTTGATGTGCTGCTGGATTCAGTTTGCCTGTATTTGTTGAGGATTTTTGCACTGATGTTCACCAAGGATATTGGTGTAAAGTTTTCTTTTTTTGTTGTATTTCTGCCAGGTTTTGGTATCAGGATGATGCTGGCCTGATAGAATGAGTTAAGGAGAACTCTCTCCTCCTTAATTTTTTGGAATAGTTTCAGTAGAAATGGTACCAACTCTTCATATATCTGGTAGAATTCACCTGTAAATCCATCTTGTCCGGGCCTTTTTTTTTGTTGGTAGGTTATTTACTACTGCCTCAATTTCAGAGCTCATTATTGTTTTGTTCAGGGATTCAATTCCTTCCTGGTTCACTCTAGGGAGGGTGTATATGTCCAGGAATTTATCTATTTCTTCTAGATTTTCTAGTTTATGTGAATAGAGTTGTTCATAGTATTATCTGATGGTTGTTTGTATTTCTGTGGAGTCAGTGGTAATATTTCCCTTGTTGTTTCTGATTGTGTTTATTTGAATCTTCTCCTTTTTTCTTCTTTATTAGTCTAGCTAGCAGTTGATTTTACTAATTTTTTCAAAAAACCAGCTCGTGGATTCATTGATCTTTTGAATGATTTTTCATGTCTCAATCTCCTTCAGTTCAGCATTGCTTTTGATTATTTCTTGTCCTGCCAGCTTTGGGATCCGTTTTCTCTTGGTTTTCTAGTCCTTTCAGTTGTGATGTTAGGTTGCTAACTTGAGATCTTTCTAAGTTAGATCTTTTTGATGTGGGCATTTAGTACTATAAATTTCACACTCTACACTGCCTTAACTGTGTCCCAGCGATACTGATATGTTATATCTTTGTTCTCATTAGTTTCAAAGAACTTCTTGATTTCTGCCTTAATTTTGCTATACACACCAAAGTCATTCAAGAGTAGTTATTCAATTTCCATGTAATCATCTGGTTTTGAGTAATTTCTTAGTTTTAATTTCTAATTTGATTGCACTGTGACACTAGACACTGTTATAATTTCAGTGCTTTTGCATTTGCTAAGAAGTGTTTTGCTTCCAATTATGTGATTGATTTTAGAGTATATGCCATGTGGCAATGGGAAGAATGTATATTCTGCTGTTTAGGTGTGAAGAGTTCTGTAGTTGTCTATCGAGTCCACTTGGTCTAGAGGGGAGTTCAGGTCCTAAATATCTTTGTTAATTTTCTATCTCAATGACCTGTCTAATGTCGTCAGTGTGGTGTTAAAGTCTCTCACTATTATCTTGTGGAAGTCTAAGTCTCTTCAAAGCTCTCTAAGAACTTACTTTATGAATCTGGGCGCTCCGGTGTTTGGTGTGTATATATTTAGGATAGTTATATCTTCTTGTTGAATTGAGCCTTTTACCGTTATATAATGCCTTTCTCTGTCTTTTTTGATCTTTGTTGGTCTAAAGTTTGTTTTGTCAGAAACTAGGATTGCAACTGCTGCTTTTTTCTGTTTTCCATTTGCTTGGTAGATTTTTCTCCATCCCTTTATTTTGAGCTTGTGTGTGTCACTGCATGTGAGATGGATCTTTTGAAGACAGTATACCAATGGTTCTTGGTTCTTTATCCAGCTTGCCACTCTGTGTCTTTTAATTGGGGCATATAGCCCATTT